TCGAAGATTTTCAAAAATCGGGAAGTTATTGTTTTCACCCCGTTTTACAAAAATCGAGTTTTCATGGAATCTCGACACTTGAGGTCCTAGGAGGCTTCCCTGACTATTCCCGCGATGGTGTCTGTATGTCTGTATGCACGTTGTGTGTGTGTGTGTGTTTTTTTTTTTAATTAAGGGGAGAGGGGATCCTTTTTACGGATTCTAGGCATAGCTGTTTGGCCTGGATATGTGGCGACTCGACACACGACACAGGGTCATACTAAAACTCGACACTAATGCCCCTACCCACTAAACCCTAAACTCCTTTCCTCTTTCCTCTAATCCCTCATGGAAACCGCCGTTAGGCATTACTTCGTGGGGGGAGGATATAGCGACTGCTCTTCCTTCTGGTAGCTAAGGTGTTATTTTACCTTTCTTCTAGTTGTTGTCATTTGCTCTTTTTCTTTCGATAGAACGCAAGTCTATGAGGACTTCTGTTGCAAACGTGTTTGTGGCGTTTCAGGCAGCCTCTGATGACATCATTGCTTCTACTATTGTCTCTGGTTGGATTTTCTTCTTCAGGATCATCTCCAGCTCATCTGGCTGTGAGTAAAATCGTGGGCACTCAAAGAAAACGTGCTCCGCGTCTTCATTGATTCCTGGGCAGGACGAGCACTCCGGTGAATCATCATGCTTGAAGCGGTGAAGATACGTCCGAAAACATCCATGTCCTGGCAACATCTGCGTCAGATAGTAATTGACCTCGCCATGACTCCGGTTTAGCCAAACGTCGATTTTCGGTATGAGACGGTGTGTCCATCTTTCTGTTGTCGCGGCGTCCCACTGCGATTGCCATCGTGCGATGCTGTTCTGCCGTTCTTCAGCTCTGAGTTTCTCGGCACTTAGTGTAATTAACCTCTTTCGATGGTAAAGGTTCCGTCTTTCCTCAGCTAGAACTCTAAGCGGCAAAGTTCCGGAAATGACACACACTGCTACTTCTGATATCGTGCGGAATGCACTAGCTAGTCTCACAGCGCTCAGTCAATATACTGGTCCAGCTTTTCTCCATGATTCTTGCAACTCCAGCGCGTCTGCCCAAATGGATATTCCATATGTGAGCACCGATATGACAACTGAATGGAATTAAGCAATAAAGTCTTAACCAACATTTTTAAAAAAATCGAGTTATTATGATGAACGTACTTAGTATCATAAGATTACTTAGCTCATCATAATAACTCGATTTTTTTAAAAATTTTGGTTAAGACGTTATTGCTTTATTCCATCCAACTGATGATAGTAGTAGTCTCCTGCTCTGCTTTAGGCCTCCGACGTTCGGCATCAGTCGTGCGAGACTAGCCCTCACTACTGACGCTTTGGGACTGACGTGTTCCACTTGCTGTTTAAAGTTGAGTCGGGCATCAAGCATCACTCCTAAAGTGGACCAAGTACAGAGCCCTGGGGTACACCTCCGGTAATATCGTACTCTTTTGGACCATTTTTCGTGTCGTATTAAAGAACTCTATCGGTGAAATAACTGGCCACTATTCTATACAGGTATTCAGGAACGTTTTTCTCTCGAAGAGCTTGCATGGCCACCAGGCAATACTTCTTTGTACCACCCTTCCATCTGGTTCCTGCGATCGCTTTTTTAGCCGTGCTAACAATCAGATTGATCGCGTCCAGGGTTGACGTCCTTTCCGGAATCCATACTGGTTGTCTGCCAGGAGTGGGTCGACTACTGCATCTATTCGTTGATGAAATATGCGCTCAAATATTTTACTCGCCGTATCTAGCATGCAAAGTGGTCGGTAAGATGACGGTTCATCTGGTGGTTTCTTCCCTTTAGGTAACAGTACCAATCGTTGCTGTTTCCACTTACGAGGAAAAGTCCTCTCCTACAGGCATGCATTATAGGCGTCTAGGAATAATGTTGGAGCTGCCTTTATGATGGTTTTCAAGGCTAAATTAGGGATTCCGTCCAATCCCGGCACTTTATTATTCCCTACACGGTTACAAGCCTCCAGCAGTTCTTCTTCAGTGACAGGCGGGATGTCATCCAGTTCGCCTGGCGCCAACTGATTATCGAAGTTACGTTGCTGTGGAAACAGTGCAGTGACGATTTTCTGAAGAAGTTGAGGACACGTAGGTGATGGCATTTGTTGTTTTTTCAGGTGGGTCATAACCACCTTATAAGGCCTACCCTACACGTCTTTATCCACCTCGTATGTAAACTCTTTCCAGCATCTTCTTTTGCTCTCTTTGATGGCTTTATTCAGTTCACGACGCGCTTTTTTGTATTCTGCGATCAGCTCCACTGAGTTGTGCCGTTGATAGCCGCGCAGAGATCTTCTTCTTGTCTTATGACATTCTTTACGGAGGACGCTGATGTGGTCGTTCCACTAATGCGCTGAAGGTCTCGAATTAATGCCACGTTTACGAGGCATACTAGCATCACAAGCATGTGTTACTCTCCTCATCAGGTCCTTACTCCGTTCTTTTGCACATCCAGTGTTGATCGGATCACCATCGAGAGCTATTAGCAATGCTTCTGGGTCAAAAGATTTCACTTTCCAACCAACGATGTTAGACTACTTGATTGATCTCTTGAGGTTCTAGTCGCATGATATTTCCCAGAATATCGCATGATGGTCGCTGGCAGTGTAGATGTCCAACACTTTCCAGTTGTAGTCGCCTCTAGCAAGGCTATTACGGACAAAAGTGAGGTCCACAACTGAAACTACATCTAGTGTTGTAAAGGCCTCTAGTACTGCTTTCCCTCGTGCGTTGGTATGTTTGCTACCCCAGTGAACTGCCCAGGAGTTGAAGTCTCCGGCTATTGCTACTGGATGGTATTGCGTCGCATCTTCGGTTAGTCGATCCAGGAAATCAGTGAAGTCAACAATGGAGAGGCTAGGTAGTGCGTAGCAGCTATAGAAGCGGATGCCCTCTACTGATACTGCTACAAAGCCAGCATTGCTGTTGTCGACTGCATTTTCGAAAGGGAGCTTGCCACATGACCAGATGACAGTTTTGGATGTGCTGTCAGATTCCCAGGGTTGGGTACTCAGGTGTTTATATGGTTCTGCTATCAGTACCAAGTCAAGTTCTAACTCTCGCACGGATTGTATGAGTAGGTCATGCGCTGCTTCACAATGCTTGAGATTGAGCTGCAGTATCCTCATGCTTGTTTGTTTATCAACTTCTGGAGCGCCTTCTGAATTACCGGGCATTTGTGGGTGCTGGCATGGTGAGCCACGTCCTTTGCTCCTTGCTGCTCAGCACATATTGCACACTTGGCAGAATTTTTACAGTCAGCAATACGGTGCCCTTCTTGTCCACATCTGAAGCAGAGTTTAGACTGGTCTACTTGGCTTTTACATTGGGGCCCAACAAGTCCAAAGTGCCAGCATTTGAAGCATTGGATTGGTCTCCTGGTAGCTCTAATTTCGCAGTTGGCCCAACCGATCCGGATTTTACCACTTCCTCTCAGTATCTTCTACGCTGCAGTTGCCGATAGTATCACAACAGCGGTCTGAGTACCTCTGTAAGCCTTACGACTCTTAATTGCCTCTGGTGGTATCTCGCAGAGCTCTCCGGTTACCGTTTGCAAGGCAGCCTGAATGTCTTCCTTTGTTGTGGTGCCATCCAGGTCTCAGATCTCGATGACTTCCTGTGGCCTTTAGCAAATTACTTTGGCATCTTCTCTGAGGATACCCGCAATTGTCTTCTGTAAGGCTTGGCCTTTGTCAGTGATCTTCCTCGACAGCGTAATCAGCATGTTACCGGTCCTGGTTTTGTGGATCTTATCCACCGTAGTCCGTACCTGTTCATCAGGGACATCCGTCTTTAGTGAGCGCAAAATCTCAGCGTACTTTACCATCTCAGCTGGGCAGATGATGTGCGTCTGGCCTGATTCATTTGCGCGATTTTTTCAGCTTAGGCTCCGGTCGGGGCTCATTCGGCGGTTGCTTCTGGAGCTATTCTTTTGCTTGCTCTCTCTTCGACTTCTTTGACTGGACTTTTTGCCACTCATTCTCCTCCTTTTTCCCGACGTTCTGTGTTACGACGTTTTTCGGAGGACTTGGTTTAAGTTCCTTCTTCTTCTTAGTACGGCTGGTGATTGAGTCTGAGGAATTTCGCTCCTTACTTTTCCCAGGCCTGATATCAATTCCAGTTTCATCTCTGTCTTCGACGAGTGACTCGACGTCACCCTCGCCACCTGTGTCCATCTCTTCGGCAAACGTATCGGCTTTTACAGGTGAAACCGCTGTCGCACTCGTGTTCATCACGACATTACCGTGTTGCTGTTGGATCTCCTGCCATTCTTTGTCCAGTTTTTTGAACCTCCTCAGGGCACTGCAGATGTTCGTCGACTTCAACTTGATCTTCTTGTGGACATTTTGCTTGGTTTTGAGGAAGTCCTTCAGTCCACTGAGTAGCTTCTCCAGATGGATCAGAGCATCTGTCCTCTTCATCTTTGCACTAAGTAGCAGTGCGTCTTGCTGGGCATGAGGCTCGTTTCCATTCTTGTTTGTTTCCTGTGAATTACTCATACTTTTTGATTTGCCAGCGCATCGTACGGAGTGGAGCGGGTTGTCATCACTAGGAAAGGGTGTACCCTCGAAAATAGTACTCCTACCCCAGTTCCGTGAGGCCTAGCCGACACTTAGCCAGTCCTGGAATACACGGACGGACTAAACTCACTCGGGGCGGGGAAGATTCCGATCTCTAACATTCACTGCGTACTTCCTGATCAAGGCCCGAAGTGACTGGCTCCTGATCCACTGCTGCAACTTACACCTAAGCAGAGCAAGCTCACATCAGCCGTGGCCTGCATCGTCGGAAACCACGATACAGGTTCTGGACACCCTCAGTGAGTTACAGCAGGGACCAGACGTCTTGCTAGGTCAGTTAGTGTGACCAACCCATTCTTTGTTGCTGTAAGATGGACAGTGGTGATTTCGGTCGAACTCACTTCCCCCTTCTCCGGCGGTGTGGTAGTAGCCCTGGACGGGCTCCTATTCTTTCCCGCTTCACAGCATTATTTATAACAAATATAAATTTTTTTTTTCATCAAGTACGGATTTTGTTTTTGGTTCAAGAGAAAAGCAAGGAAGAGAGTTTTTCACTTGAATCAAGATATCCTTCCTATCTGTGTTGTAGCTAAAATAAAATTTAACAAAACACAAGTGTAATAATAATCATAATTAGTATTCATTAAGATGGAAGAAAATAACTTACAATTTTTTTAAGCGAGCCCATTGATTTCGCAGAAAACTAAAAACCAGTGGTTGACCAATAGGATTATTAGCAACAGCACTAAATACACGTGATGTATCTTGCTTTCTAATTCCAGAATTTTCTGTTGTTGCCCATTCAAGATACCGACTCAATATCCATGGTTCTCTAGCACAACCAAGTGCATACATGAGTATATCTTTTTCAGATCCAACATTTGTTTTTCTATAACGTTCCCATGCAAAGTCCCATTCAGCTTGTCCACCTGTTTTAATAGCTGTACAGTAAACAACACTTTTTAAATTTGGTGAAATAGGATTATTTGCATCTGGATCAGGTGAATTACGCCAATTTTGAAATTGCATAACGGCATTACGAACACAGTCATCATGACCAAATGTACAAGCCCATAAAAGAATATCAATACGAGTAAAAACAGTTAGTTGTGGATCCCCAGGCATATCCTTAAAACCTATTTTGCGATAAACATTATCTAAAAGTCTAACAATGTAGACTCTAAATCTGTCATAACCTTGGTATTTATTTAACATATTGTCTATGTAATTTAGAGCTGTCAAAGCTGATTTCCATGGAATGTATTCTGTTTCATGCCTTAAATATGTAGTGACATCAAGAGCCGTTGAATAATCAATTCTACCAGCACGTGCTAAATTAAGCGCATCATCAATTAACTGTCCGCGATTTATTGTTGCAATATCTTTATAATTCTCACGATCATTTAACTGTGTTATAATTAATTGCCAATTTCTTTTATCATAATTAACACGATAAAATCCGGTTTCTAATATATTAAATATAATCCATTGATTATTAGATGCATCAATATTTTGTAGCGTCAATGAATATTTAGCATTCATCCAGTTTGATGGTTTCGTACTATTAAAATTTTTGATAGCTTCAGTAGTATACGTTATTGGTATCCACCATAAAGCTTCTTTTTCATTTTCATCTTTTATTTCTTCATTTGTACCTACCATTGTAACTGTAGTTGTACTATTTTGAAGCATAAATCGTTCTTGAGTTAAATAAGCACCACCGGATTTATAGTCACGAATAACAGTAACAACTGGAAAACCTGTTTGAAGAGTCCAAGTATCCATGATTCTTTTAACTGTAACCTCCGATGGTAACACATTATTTTTATGTGCTTCATCTGTTAATGCATTCCAAAGATCATTTTGTTCAGAATTACCGTATGCTTTTTCTATCAAATAATTAGTTAATCCTTGCTTAAATACATTTGTTGTTAAGAAATGATCCATCATCCGAATTATTGAAGCTCCTTTACCGTAAGAAATACGATCAAATATTTCGCTTATTTCATCTGGATGTCCTACTTCAATAGATATTGGGTGTGATGATGCTAATGCGTCTAGATTAAATACATTTTGTACTTCGTAAGTTACAAATTGCTCAAGTATTTTCCAATCCGGCTCAACAGAATCAACGCCAATATACTCCACATAACTAGCAAATCCTTCATTCAACCAAAGATCTGACCACCAACTGGGTGTTACTAAATTACCAAACCACTGATGAGCTAATTCATGAGCTATTACAGTAGCTACACGTTGTTGACTATTACTGGTTGATATGCCATCTTGAAACAACATTGCTGTTTCTCTGGGAAAAACATAGAATATAACGAATTTATCACCTGCGTTTGATATAATGATCATGTATATATTAGCTTACCTATAAGTAACTAAGCCCCAATTTTCCATAGCGCCAGCCGCAAAATCTGGTATTGCAACCATATCTATTTTTGGAAGTGGAAATTTTATTTTAAAATAATCTTCATAATACTTAAGTATTTTTGGCCCTACATCTAAAGTGTAACGTGCTTGTTCTATAGCTTCTTTACGTGCCCAAACACCAAAAAAATTATCAGAGGTCTTTAGTACATCAAAATCAGTAACTAAAAAAGCAACCAAATAAGTTGACATTGGTACTGACTTTTCATAATGATCCCATACATATGTCGCCATTTCACGTCTATAAAAAACAATATCCTAATTAAATGTTAAACGTTACTATTATTTATGATAATTGAAACAACTTACGCTGGTTCAGGTTTACTGATGCGCGGCATATTCGACACAGAAACCATGTGTGAAGGTCGCGCAATACTTATTTGAAATTTAGCCTTCAATGATGGTTCATCGAAACACGGAAAAGCACGACGAGCATCAGTTGCTTGAAATTGTGTAGTTGCAATCCATCTATTATTAATATTAATTTCATCATTCATATGTAGGTCATTCTATACGTAATCATCGAATTTGAAAAATCACATTTTTCTATTTAGTTGAATTATGATATATATATATATATATATAAAGTGATTTTTTCGAATTACTCCGAAAATTTCGGTCTGATCAATTTGTGCTTAAAAGTAAATCATAGGATTTAAAAAATTGCGTCGAATGCTGTAAACCACATAATAATCGGTTTATTTATTCAAAAGTAATTGCCGTTCGGAAATTTAAAGAATATTGTTTCGCGAAACTTCTATCAGACTTTTGAGCTTGAAGAGCTTATAATAATATATAAATTTTATTTTTGAGCTCGGAAAGTTCATAAACGTCATAAGTGCAATTTCAAGCGCTTAGGTATGGAATTATGCGCGGAGTTGCAGGGATTGCTTTAGGGTCAACTGTTTTCCTAATTTTTTTTTTCCAATTTTAATTTCAAAATTTGAGTTGTTCTGAAGAGCAACATTTTTAGTTCCTTCCATCCAAGGTATTCAATTTATTTATAGCTAACTTATTTAATGTAAAAATTTAAAAATATTTAAAAATGTCGGTCGTCACAATAACTCAAAAGTTAAGGATAAAATTTTAAAAATACATTGAAAAATAAAAATTTTACTTTTTTATAATTCTTTTCAGAAACTACATTTCAAGAGGAAAAAAATGACTCTATATCCATGGAATCAGTATGATTTGATCACGAGTTATGAATTTTATAACATTGACATATTACATTTTTTATTGCAATTTTCAAAAATTCATACTTTAAAAACTTTTGAAAATTAAGGGTTGGAAATGTACAAGTATGAATATCTTTTTGACACATACAAAAACATGTCAAAAATTTAGCTAAAGAAAAAAAAATGATTTTTCAAATCTATTGATTTCATATGGAATGGCTCACATATTCTAAAAATTAGAATTTTCGACTACCTAGTTTTATTTCCTTCAGTGTAGGAACTCCGGTAAAAACCCTGGAGATAATCATTCAGATAACCAACGAATTTTAATTTTATTATGTATTGCATTCCAGCTTTTAAAGTCTCACTACTGTGGATAATGTGAAATTGTCTGGCAGTGTCATTTGTTTGGTCAAATATTTTAATCCATTTTCCTATATTCTTGCTATTTGTATTTGGATTAAAATTATATTCCTTTAATGTCGTTGATTGATAATGTATTTTCATATCTGTTGCATGGAGAGTGATATTTTTAGTATCCATTGTAACATTCACATAAATAGTTACCTTAAAAAAAATAATAATAATAACATATTAAACAGATTATAGCCCTAATTTCCTAACCAAATAATAGAAATACTGAATTTATCAATTTTCGTCACAACTTATGATACGGTGTTCTCCTTAGGTGAACTGGTTATTAAATTCTTTATTAAGTCAGTAAATAGATATAAAATATTCAAGTATTGAATTTGTAAACCTTCAAATTAAATGAGATTTTTTACGTCCCGCTATGAAAATAAATGATTTTAAAAAAATTAGGAAGTCATTGGTTCCACCCCGATTCTCGAAAATTGAGTTCTTATCATATCTCCACTTCCGAGGTCCTCGGAAGCTATTCTGACTATTCTAGGACAGCGTTGTCAAGCTAGCAGTGGCAAGACCCATCTTGGACGGATATTATTATTGAATTATCGGAATCTAAACAAGCAACAATATTCTAGATGGCGCAATTAATTAGCAACAAAAAAGCAACAAATTTAGCACCATCAATAAATTATGTTGCTTGAATAAGTCAATGCATGATGGACGAGTCCATGCTAGCTTGATAGACCTTCCTACGACGACGGCAGTATGTCGGTCTGTATGTATGTGTGTGTGTGTGTGTGTGTGTGTGTGTGTGTGTGTGTGTGTGTGTGTGTGTGTGTGTGTGTGTGTGTGTGTGTGTGTGTGTGTGTGTGTGTGTGTGTGTGTGCGGAATGTTTTCGCGATGATGTCAGTAGGTCTGTAGTGTGTGTGTGTGTGTGTGTGTGTGTGTGTGTGTGTGTGTGTGTGTGTGTGTGTGTGTGTGTGTGTGTGTGTGTGTGTGTGTGTGTGTGTGTGTGTGTGTGTTTGCGGCATCTGAAAGGGCCGATATAACTTTCGGTCCGCTTCATCAATCAAATCAATAACCTGATCAGCACTTAAGCTCGAGAAATGGCGTCGAATGCCGTTAAAAAAATTAAAATCGATTCATTTGTTCGTGAGATATTGTTGACGAAAAATTTCGTAAAGTGTTTTTTTCAAATAACTCCAAAGTTTCTTATCGGATCGTTTCTAATGTTACAAATTAATTATTAGTGCTCAAAAAACTAAGACGAATGACGCCATGTTTGTCAGAATCGGTCAAACCGTTCGTGAAATATTTAATTTTTTAAAAATTAAAAAAATATTTCTTCAACACAACTTTAAAATTTTACGTCGAATCCTTCGATAAGTAATGAATGATCTTTTTGTGATTCAAAAACTGCGTCGAATGTTACAAGATTCATCAAAAACGATCGATTTGATTGGAAGATATCAATAAAATTTTTTAAAAAAGTATGTTTTTAAAAACCACTAGATTTTTGAGCTCAAAGAGTAGTAGTAAGTAGAGCAGATGTGTTTTTGAGCTTGAAGAGCTTAGAACTTTGAAATAGATCATTTCTTGAGCATTTTAAGCTCGTACATAGCGGGAAGCTCCAGGGATGGTTTGCAGAATAAACCATTTTCGGTTTTTTTTCAAATAAGTGTATTAACGAAATTGATCGCTACAATCAATACACTTAGTATACTAATTAAAAAAAAAAAAAAATCGGAATTGATTCAAGAGTTAATAAATTGTATATCATATGCTCACGTATTTAATATATAAATGTATTGACATAACAATTAATTTAATTACTATTTCATTTAAGTTATACACCGTCCACGTCAAAATGTTGAGATAAAAATTAATAAATTCTTTATGGCAATTATTTTCATTGGAAATCAGGCCAATATTTTATCAGGACTTTATTAAAATTGCGCCGATTCTCAATTGAAAATTTAATGAACAGTAATAATATTGATTAATACATTTTTCATTTAACCAAATGTATTACCTCGCCATTAAATGTGAAATTTCCTTCCCAAATAAATGGCATTAATTTTATTTCATAAGTGTCAGGAATCACAGATTTTGGTAAACGAACATTAATCTTTTTTTTATGCGCTTCGACTGTGGCAAATGTTCTTGCAGAATTTAAAAAGGCACCATCCCCAAAATCATCAGTATTTTTGACAGATTTACCATCAAGACAAGGTGCGAAATGGTAAACTAATAATCCTGTCGCAACAATACCAAATATGAAAAATATTGTTATTAAAAATGCTCCACATTTTGAAATCGTGCAACCGCGCTTGCGACCAAATGTCGTAGTATGTGCATCCATCATAGCTAAAACTTCACAAGATTGTGTCATAGCATTCAAAGAACTGAAACACACAAACAGAAGTAAATATAAATCATTACAAATTTTCATAGTCAAGCGTTAATGCTAATTCTACATTAATCAAGTACCATAATAACAGAATGTACAAGTTTTTAACTATTTTATTTATAGAAATTATCAATTTTGAATAAAATTTTCGATAAAATTTATGAATATTAAGAAAATATTCAATTGGAAAATATATTTTTCTGTTGTCTTATTCTATTGAAAATCATTTTGATCTACTCTTTTACGTAATTGTTTGTTGACTTGAATTCATGTGTTGAGAAGAGATAAATAAATATTCATTATGTTTTTCTATTAGTTAAGCCTATGTGGGTGTAAGTTGAATACCGCATTAAAATATCCAACACATATCAATTTGCATAACTTATAATTTGCATATCTCAATTTTTGAGATAACTCTTGATTGTTGTATGCCATTTAAAAATTCATAAGTCTGATTGAAATATGAAAAAACATTATCAGTTTTTTTTTATAGCTTATGTGTCAGTATGTTCAAGAAAAAAAAAACAACACGTGTCATGTGTATTTTCGTTGTGTTATTCCTCACTCGCGGTACTGTAATTAGCTATTCCTACAAACATAGTGTAATTACTACAAGGATTTTGTATCGTTGATAGTAATTGTACTATATGGGGCTACATCGACACCAGCCAGGGCTTCAATTAATTCTTTTATGGCGTTGATATATATATATATATATATATATATATATATATATATATATATATATATATTATGAACACAAATATATTATATTGATAAGACAATAAATAGTACCGTTAAAATTTAATGAAGCTGTCTGTCATTAATGCTTCAAAGAACTTACGGTCAAATAAAAAATTCGTTCACAAGACTTACTCATAGCTTGTAATATGAAATAAAATTCACATTGTCATCTTCATTTTCGAATTAATAAGAACATTAGATAACATTTATTGAAGAAGAGGTGTATTCAATCAATTAATAAGCTAATAAAAATAAAATTACTCACAAAAGTTATTTCTTAATCATATAATTAAATTCCAAAAGAATCGCTGTGCTTAATCATACGTCAGTCAATCACTTGATTAATAGTAGAGAAAAATTAAATCATTTATCGAATTTTTTTTTAACTATGTTAAGAGTTTTTATTTTTTATTTTCAAGAAAACACTATTCTAATAAATTTAAACAACATTTTAAAAACAAATACATAAGTTTAGTTTATTAATTAATTAATATATCATTAACACTTTTTGATAAAAATTTACAACTCTTATCACTTTATCCACTCGTGTGGACAGCTGCGACAAAACTGTATTGTGACAACACAACGCAAGGAGTGAAGACGTTCTTTCGGCTTCACACGACTCCCTACTGTATGACAGTTTATCCTGTCGTCTATCCAGTTCCCCACCTAGCACATACTTTCCGATCCTTCCGGTATCCAATATCATTCTCCTTGTGCTCAATCGAGAGTCTTAATCGTCCCTTACTTCTTTTTTATTTTTATTCATCTTTTTTTTATAGTCCTTTTTTTTCTTATTCTTATAAAATGAACCTGGTGCTCACTTTACATGTTAGTACACATCTATTATATATAAAAAGTTTTTATCGTGTAGACAATTCATAAATACTAATATTTTAAATGAGTTTGTATTTTTACAGTCAAGGTTACATTATAAATAATAATAATTTAAGATACATAACTATGAACAAAACTAAACTCTCGATTTTTAAAAAAATATTAAATAGCTGACAAACAAGTTTATAGTAAGTGTATGCTGACGTATATGTATATGTAAACCGTTATTTTTAGTTAAATTTTATATATATGAAAATGTATCCATTGCATTAGTTATTTTTAAATTAACTGAAAACTTATGTGATTATTCTGTTCAAATGTTCAATTAGAATTAAAAAAATAATATTGTATTTTTTTTAAGCTTTTTAACAAAATTCATGAGCAATAAATTCAATCTTTCAACATTGAATCAGATCGAATAGTGCATTCTTTTATACAAAATTTAACTTGCTCGAGAAATTAACATAAGTTCTAATGAATTTTTTTCTACTTCCGCTCTTTCTTTTTTTTTCTATTTCTGGCATGTCTACTTCCTTTTGAGAAATCACAAGATTATGCGTATTGTGAGCATGCTTTTGAATATTTAATGGACTAAAGTGAATATACACTTTAACTAGTAAAAATATTTTTATTTACTCAAGTACCTTTCCAATTTCAAGTATTGAAAAGATTTTTTAAAATAGATAATTGTAATTTACAATTGTACAATTTATAAATTTACAAATATACAGAATTATTGAAGAAGAAGAAAATTTTAATAATTTTTAAAGTTACTGTTATCATGAATGAAACAATTGGAAAATAACGTTGTAATAGATTATTAAGAGCATGAGGGTATAGATTTAATTACGATGTAGTTGAGACTGCTGAACCACAGAAGACAGACAACTTGAATTACCCTATTGAGGATTTTGGTGTACTCTTACAAAAACAGGATATCCGCCGCTATCCATGATACTTTTTACTCATTACACACCACACATATATATATATATATATATATATATATATAT